ATTTTGTGTTTTAAAATTACATTCTTTATATATCATATCTTCTTCAGATTTACCTTTCTTATATATAGCTAACATCATAATATTTACTTTTAAATCTTTCTTTTTTAWTTCAYGTTTAATGCKTCCTATTRCTGGGTTATCTAAACGATTTAAAAACACTTGTGGATCTTTAGTACCTGTTAACGTCTATTTCTTAGTGGACTGTAGGTATTGGTAAATGTGATTAACAGATTTTATTTTATTGTATTATTTTTTTTATTCTGCTGCGACCGACACGGTGACAAGTATATGTACACTGATACATGGTTGAACACACACTAAACTCTAAAGGTATAATACAATTGGACGTCGATTCAGATAATCTTTAATACAGATAAACGCAATAATAATGATAATAATATAATACACGCTTCACCATGCCGACCTCCTTGAAAAATTAAAATATTCATACATAATAAGAACAAATACATATAAATAATTTTTCAACAAAAAGTTTACAATAAATTGATAAATAACATATAATACATAAATAATCTAAATATAAGTTAGAAAATTATTAAATATAAATAAATTACTAGAATTTGATATAATAGGTAATTAGATATCATAACATTATATTACAAAAAATATTTATTCATTTTTTTTTTTTATGGGCAAGAGGACAAAGCTTACGAACTGCTCTAGATACTTCTTTACCTTTTACTAATATAGTAGCTACCCGAATGACACCGTCGTCCCCAGCCTGGACACGAACAACTCGACCCATGGACAAAGACATCGGGAGGGTATCGTCTTCTTTCACCAACACTACAGTACCGACTTTTAACTTAGGACCCTTGTTTTCCAGCCACTTTCGCCTTGTTTGGAGCTGCGACAAATACTCTTTATTCCAGCGCTGCCATAGTGTTTGAGTTAACTGAGATACTCGCTGCCAACGTTTTAAGCGATTGTCCGGTACACCAGTTAAATCTGGTTCGGGTAGAGAACAGGTTGGCTCACCAATTAAAAAATGAGCAGGCGTTAATGGTGTAGTATCAGTAGGATCAGAGGAACAGGGAGTCAAAGGTCTAGAATTAAGGACAGCCTCTATTCTAATTAGGATAGTATTCAATTCGTCATAAGTTAGATTAGTCGTACCTAAAACTCGGTATAAATGATTTTTAATAGATTTAATAGAAGCTTCCCACAACCCGCCAAAATGAGGGGAGAGGGGGTATGAAATGCCACCTTATACCCTCCGTTGATAAAGCATCGTACATTTTGGTTAAATGCTCTTCAGAATGAAACATTTTTTTTAGTTSCAGTAACCTATTGTTAGCCCCCACAAAATTGGTAGCATTGTCGCTAAATATATCGGAACATACACCGCGGCGTCCGATAAACCGTTTTAAGGCATTTAAAAAGGCTTCAGTAGTCAAATCAGCAACTAACTCGATATGGACAGCCCGGGTACTAAAGCATACAAATACACATATATAACCTTTTAGCACAGCCGCATTTCTTCTTAAACTTGTTTTTATAGAAATAGGAMCGGCGTAGTCGACCCCACACTTTCTAAATGGTCGATTTGGCTCCAATCGTTCGGTTGCTAAATCTGCCATTATAGGTTCAACTATTGTTGGTCGAAGTCTAAAACATTTTACACATTGGTGAAATACATGCCGAGCGATGTTTCGGCCTCCAATTATCCAGTACTTTAATCGACTGTTCGCCAACATCGCTTGTGGGCCCGCGTGTAAAAGTAATTCGTGTTCGTTGCGCAATATTAATTTTGCCATTGTACTATCCTTTGGTATTAAAATAGGGCGTCSCTGTGTTATGTCCAAATGCCTGGCATTTTTTATGCGACCGCCAACTCGTATAATTCCGTCTTCCAAAAATGGTTGTAAATTATGTAATTTACTTTTTACCGTTAAACTGCCATTTTTATTTAAATCCTTTATTTCACTAGACCAATAGGACGCTTGAGTTATTTTAATTATAATTATTTTAGCTTCTTTTAATTCGTCGRATAATATTGGACCAACCACCTTCATTTTTTTTATTCAAATTTTTATAAAACGCAAACAATAACAAAAAATACGTAATAATCTTTTCCACGATGGATACTTGCTTAATATTTGTTCGTTTATTACCGGTTGCGCTACAAATGCAGCAGTTTTCTGTGTACCCTTATCTTCCGGTATTTCGGTATATCTTAACTCGCAAACAGTCTTTGGCCAACTTTTATGATCGTTAGTTAACCAGCTTGGTCCGTGCCACCATATCGAACTATTTATGATTTCTTTTGCACTGCATCCTCGCGAAATAATATCCGCAGGATTGTCCTTTGTTCCAACATGGTGCCATTCATTTACTGAACTAAGATCGTGAATTTCACCCACTCTGTGYGCAACAAATGTCTGCCAACGCGTAGTGGGTGAAGTTATCCAAGCTATGACGATTGAAGAATCCGACCAAAAATAACGACTTTGTATTTTTATACCTAATTTCGGTATTACTTTGTTGTACAGCCTTACTAAAATTATGGCCGCGCATAGTTCCAATCACGGTAGCGATATAACTTTTAAAGGCGAAACTTTAGATTTTGCATACAATAAATGCGACGTGCAAACGCCACTATTATCTGTCGTGCGTATGTATATATATGTGCCATAGGCGGCTAGACTGGCGTCAGCGAAACCATGAACCTCTATATTACAATTATCTTCCGTACCTATAAAACGTTGTATATTCAATTCACGCAAGTTTGCTAACTCATGTAAATATTTTGTCCACTCGTCGTGCATTTTTGCTGGTACCGGTTTATCCCAATCAATTTTCAATCTCCACATCTCTTGCATTAAAATTTTTGCTTTTATTACTATCGGCCCCACCAAACCTAGTGGGTCGAATAATGAGGCTATTTGCGCCAATATGTTTCTTTTGGTTGTTGATTTATCTGTCTTTGTGTCCTGCACTTTATATTTAAATTTGTCCTTACTAGGATGCCACAGGACCCCGAGAATTTTCGCCATATTGTCCTCTAATTCTAATACCGACATAGCATCATTATTTTCTTGGTTTAAATTTTTCAATAACTCCGAATCGTTTGCAGTCCATTTTCGTAAGTTAAAACCACCTGATTGTAGCACTGTTCGCAAGTCATTACGCAATTGTACGGCCATCTCTTTCGTATTTGCTCCACCTAGATAATCGTCCATATAAAAATCATTTTTTTGTAGCAGTACACGCTTCTGAAAAATTACTATACTCATATTCTGCTAATTTATACAAGCACGCGGTAGCTAAGAACGATGCCGAGATAGTGCCATAAGTGACCGTATTTAACTGAAATATTTGCATAGGTTGTTCTTTATTTTCCCACCAAAATATTTTTTGATATTTGCGATGTTCCGGTGTAACCCAAATTTGACGGTACATTTTTGACATGTCCGCGGATATCGCATATTTGTGTGTACGAAACCTAGCCAAAATATTAACTAAATCGTCTTGTATTGTAGGCCCTTTTAATAGTACATTGTTTAAGCTAATGCCTGTATCAGTTTTACTAGATCCGTCGAATACTACGCGCAGGCGAGTGGTACTACTATTTTCGTTTATTACGGCGTGATGCGGTAGAAAATAGCCGGGTTCATTGACCGACCTTTCCCCCGCACTGCACAGCAGTTCCATATGACCGAGATATAGATATTCATCAATAAATTGCTGATAATCTTTACCTAATTTTGTATTTAGTGCTAATCGTTTTTCGGTCGACAGAAATCTCCGGAACGCGCTTTGATAAGAATTACCTAATTTATTACTAATTTCTTCGCGGAACGGCAATTGTACTACGAATCTGCCAGATTCGTCGCGTCGCACTGTTTTAATAAATTGATCGTAACAAGTTTTTTCTTCCAAAGTGTAATGAGTATTTTTATCTACGTTTTCTACTTTCCAAAACTTTGCAATTTTTTCTTCTAAATTATCATTTATTTGATACGTGCTTAAAGAAATATTTTGTGCCTCTTTTAAATTTGATTTATTATTGACCGGGCCTGCCACAATCCAACCAAACTTTGTTTCTTTCAATGTAGGTCCATTTTCATTTAATTTAATTTGACCCTTATCCAATAAATCAAAAAACAATTCTACACCCATCAACATATCTATACGTTGTGGTTTGTTGTAGGCTTTATCAGCTAGTATTATATTATTCGGTATCTTTATGGACWCAGTATTTATCGCTTTTATTGGAATATTGTTTGTTATACAAGGTATTATCAAACATGATATATTAGCTTTGAAATCTGTACTACAAGAACTCACCATTACCGTAATCTCGGATTTTACCTATGCAATGTGTGCCCGATTCCCGCTATATCATAATCAACTCTTTTGCATCGCAATTTTAACATTTGTGCCATATGCTCTGTGATAAAATTGTTCTGCGAGCCAGAGTCCAACAACACTCTGCACTTTACCGGCTTGCCATCAGTATTATATACATTAATTATTGCGGTTGATAGGAGCACCTGTCCATAGCTTATCGCCGATGCGTGTGCCGACACACTTACATTACTTGCTGTGGGACTTTCCTCATTATTTTCTTCATATTGCTCCGAAGTGACATTACTTTCCGTCTTATTTATTTTTAAATGTAATAATGTGTTATGCGCCTTATGACATTGAAAACATTTTTTTCCATCACATTTCTTTCCGATATGAGTCCGCATACATATCATGCATAACTTAAGCTCACTCACCCTTTTTATTCGATCGGGAATGGGTAAAGCTAGAAAAGACGGACATTTATATATTGAATGCGCTAATTGGCAATTAAAACATTTCATCCCACCATATGCCGGAAACGCTATCGATTTGTGGTTATTTTTGTTTTTCTTACCGTTAATCATATTATTTTTTATTTTTTCGTCATTACGAATATTTATATTCGAAGAGGTCTCCACTGCTTCCATTATTTTGAATCTCTTTTCTAAAAATTCAAGTAACACTTGTACTTTGGGTATTTCATTTTTAGGGGATACCGTGTCCCACGCTTTAAGTGTACTAGAATCCAATTTAGTTGCTATAAGGTGTAATAATATTGAGCCCCACTCCTTAGGTTTCTCACCTAATGTTTCTAACACGCTCATATGACCGTTCAACTGATCTATTAATTTTCTTAATTGCATAGCTTCTTCATTTATCGCCGGTATATCGAACAACTCTTTTGTGTGCGATTGTACTAATACTTTTTTATTATTATATCGAGCTTCCACGCTATTCCATGCTATGTTATAATTTGCAGCCGTTGTTTCTATATACATTATAACCTGTGCTGCCTCACATTTTAGACACGAGCGCAAATGAAAAAATCGCTGTATATCGTCTATACGTGAGTTATTATGTACCATTGCTATATAAATATCGTGGAAAGCTGACCATTCCTCATATGCACCCGAAMATTTTGGTATATCTATCGGTGATAATTTCATTTCCGCGGTTGCACCGGTGCAACAAGAATTAGCGCTACAATTAATTGCGTGTGCTGTATTATGGCCTATAGAAGCTGATTTTTGATCACCATTATCCTTTTTTGTGCTTACACGCTGCATTATATTCTCGCCTAGAGCCATAGCACTAAAATATAACTCCTCGAATTCTATGCGGTAATCCTCCGTTTCGTCCTCAAACGACTCTATTTCCGATTGCACCTGATCAAATTCCAACCATAATTCATCGACCTTTTTACTTCTACATTTAACTTCTAATGGGTCCACTCCTTCTTTATTTAGATATATATTTAACCTAGTTAATTGTCCCTTTAATTTCCCTTTGCGGGCTTTTAGTGACATTAAATCTGACATATTATTGCAGAGTTACGCTTTTTTGAGTGTGTATACTTGTCAGTGTGTGTGTGACAGCTTGATGCCTAAAGTKGACGGGATCGCCGATCAAGATAGACAGCTGTGTTTTTGTGAGTAAATATGTGTTTGTGTGGTATCGTACCTATGCGAAAGCTAATTATTTTATTATCTATAGGTACCGAGCTATATTATCTACGACCATTTCCCCTTTGACTTAAATACCTGGGAGAAAAACCCGCTAATAGGATTTATTTATAGGAACGAAATAAGTAACTTAGAACTGATACTACTTACCACCTTGAAACTCACGCCCTCGCCGTCTTCTTGTTTGATTTTTTTTCTTTTTTCTTTTTCGCCCCACTTGAATATATAATATTTGCTGCACATACACGACCAATTATCACTCGCATTTAACTTTTTTACGGAATGCTATAACTATTAATTAMTAATCAAAAAAATTACTATTTTACTTTAAATTGTGAGTTATACTAATTGCATCCGGTTTCGATGGACCAATGTTAACGTCTATTTCTTAGTGGACTGTAGGTATTGGTAAATGTGATTAACAGATTTTATTTTATTGTATTATTTATTTTATTCTGCTGCGACCGACACAGTGACAAGTATATGTACACTGATACACGGTTGAACACACAATAAACGCTAAAGGTATAAAAAAATTGGACGTCGATTCAGATAATCTTTAATACAGATAAACGCAATAATAATGATAATAATATAATACACGCGTCACCAATACCCATGTTATTTTCAATAACATAAGTTTGTAATCTACTTTTAAATGCAGTTTCTTCAATTTTTAGAATAGGTCGAATAGGTCGATTATCTTTCTTTTCAAACATTTTTGCACTAAAATTGAAAACCTTATGTGGTTTTGGTATTCTTTCTTTTTTTAATCTTATTGGTTGTTGAGGTTTTGGTATTCTTTCTTTTTTTGTTCTTATTGGTTTTGTTGACATTTTTTTGTACATTTTATTAAATTTAGGTTTAATTGTTTGATCTACATMATTTGTTTGATGACGAAYAGATTTCAAATGTCTAGACCAATTTTTGTAAGTAACTGTTAAGTTACATTTATCACAAGTTTTGTTAGGATATGTTTTTTTGTTCTCCATTTTATTATAGTTAACATTTCCTTTAACTAAAGGTTCATTTTTATTTAAACGGTTCATTCTTTATCATATTATATATATATTTTTTTTTTACAATCAACTTTTTAATAGAAATTATTCTATTAAAAATACACTTTTAAAATCTGATAAGAGTTGACCTACTTACTATCCCACCTCTCGTCTGTTGTATTATAGATATCACTTCTTTTAACTCATGTCATTTAAAAACAATGTGAAACATATAGTCGATTTATTTAATTTAATATAATTTTAATATTAAGATCCCATAATAAATTTGCACATTTTCATATTTCCTAAATCTTGAACAACCTTAACATCTTCTAGAAAACGATGTCTATAATCACCTGTTGTAATTATCATATCGTTGGCTATTCTACAAAGTTCTAACCAACTTGGTGAATGTTATCGTTTAGAAATATAAGGATTTCTAGTATTATCATCTTTTTGATCAATAATGAAAATATTTCCATAAATTGGAATTGTATGTAGATTATATTTAATTGATTCAGTATTATCATGATATTCAAAAGCACAAAATTCAACATATAAATTATCTTTTTTTGACAATTTTTTCATATATTTTTTTATATAATTTTTCATTAATTTCAAATAATTATATTTGTTTGTTTTTCTTGATTAMTTGGTATACCTTTGTATGTTTTATTATATCTAAAGGTACAATTGTTTGATCTATATCATTTTTTTGATGACGAATAGATTTCAAATGAGCAGCCCAATTTTTGCTATCAACTGTTAAGTTACATTTATCACAATTTTTGATATTCATTTTGTTATCAATTTCTTTAACTATGGGTACAATTTTATTTAATCCATCCATTCTTTATTATATTCCATGTTATTATTTTTTGCATTCAAATTTTTAACAGAATAATTTCTATTAAAAATATCATTTAAAATTTTGTTTTTTGCATTTCTTCGTTATAAAAACTCCCTTCAATCTCTTCATTGTTTAAATCTATAATTTTATATGTTATAGGATTTGTGTTTAAAATWTCATTAACTATAAATATTTCTCTTATCCAATTATTGCTATATTTATTAACAAATGTTTTTTTAAAAGCTTTTATTCTTACTCTATCACCTACATTAAATTAAATTTTTGATTTAGTTTTGTTTTTTGTAGAAAATAATTTGTGTAGAACATTGTTTTCGTTAGATTTATTTACTTCACAAGGTTTCATACCAATAGCTCTATGTATATCATTGAAATTATGTTCATCTAATAATGTTTGTAAAATTTTAATCCATTTTTTAGAATTTTGAACTTCAAAATATA